ATATTTTGGGGATTTTTTTTGTTGCAATTACCATGTGTAACAGCTTTTCTCCCACTGGCCATGATACCATCACACAATTGAATGATCTTGGGAATTCCGATTATCTGCTTGGAATGATACCGCTCGTAAGACAGCAACACCAGGAAAAAGAAGATATTAGGAATAATTGCTTCAGACTCCCTGAAAAAAAAAATAAATTCAGAAGTGTAAAGTTTAATTGCACAACTCTGCTCAGTAAAAATAGATATTTTTACAGTATACATATTTTTTAATGTGCTGTTCCACTTACACACAGTATTTCTATAATTTTTGTTTCATGATCTTTACTATTGTTTTTCCCCCCAACCAACTGCTTGAAAACTTTGACAATTACACAGTTACTAATATACTAATACTAATATACTAATAGCATACTATCTAATGCATGTGACACACAGCTCAACAGCACAACATAGCTTAATTTTTTTTTTCTATGTTACTTCCCAACTTCTTTAGCTACATGGAACCTAATTAATCTGAAAAGGCTACCACTGGAGCCAAAGAACAAACAAGCATATTGTCAAGAATTTAACTCTCCGTTTCTCATAAAGGAGAAATAACAAGCAAAACTAATCACTACGTGCTTGGGAGTAAGACAACTGTAAACCCATAATTTTCAAAGGATCTTTGCTAATTTCATACCTGAACTGTCCTACTTCAATGTATTCAAACTGCTTTAGCACAAATCCAATAAAAACCTAAGGAGAGAATAAAGTGTACAACCGATACAGAGACATTAATTCCTGTTTGAAATAACATGGACAGTTACAAAAGTGCATGTTTCAGGAGGAAAGAAAATAAAAACAGGCAGTGCAAATCATTTATACTTAATATAGTTCATTCTAATATGTTAAGAAGTTTTCCCTCTGCAGTTGCACATTTTGAGAATCTTGTTGATGTTAGAGCTTATGAAGGTATGCATGAACTTATTCCATATTTTACCTACTGTATATGTATTTTTAAGTGTAACTTTCTCACTCATTTAACACACATTACTTGAGGCATTATAGTCAAGAAATTAAGAATCAACCAAAAATATCTCTCTCAACCAAGATAAAATCCACAGTATTTATGCACTGAAAAGATTTATCTGTGTTTGAACTCACAGGAAAGCTAATGTATTGCAACACATACTAGTTTGTAATCCTGAAAATAACTGTAGTAAATAGAACATTTAAATTGTCTTTTAGACTACAAATTTACTGCTTATATGGATAACCATGCAGTCTACTGTATTTGCCACTATCTTCCCCCACCATTAACATAATGATTAACCATGATGCTCACCACTATCAGTCATACAGAAATGCATGCTCTCAATATAGAAAGAAGGTACTTCCATTTGTAAATGAAGTTTTATTTAACAATACTGATTATATTGTCCACATCATCTTACTCCTAAAGGCAATCTGATGAACAGGTCATAAGTAGTTTTTGCAGAGCTTAGGAAGAAATTTATATGCAACTGAAAACAGAAATCTGAAGCTCTTTGGGGAGGAGGGGGAATTGGGTCTCACCCTCTTATGTCTTCCTTTTCATCGATAGTACAATGAATGGATTGTTGAAAGTATTTTTGCTGGAAATAATAAGCCTGCTGGTGAGTATTACAGATTTGCAAAAATGGTGAGGTACCAACCTGATCTGAATCCAGAAGACAGTAGTTAACTCGTAGCTGAACCAGTTGAGCAAGCAAATCTAGAACTTGTCTCTGCAGCTGTACTGATGTTGTTGTTGTGTATTGTTTCAATGCTTTTATGACAAGGGGTTCAAATAAACGAATGTGATTGTGAATAGCATTCTGTAATAGAGAGATTTTAAAGTAATCTAATATCTGAACAGGTCTCTGATTCAAAACCAAATTATGTTTTAAAAGGAGTAAAAAATATTTTAAATCTAAGGTACAGCTCTTTCAGGAGTACATAGATACAAGTACCTTATCAGCACGATGTTTTGCTGCACTGGTTATGCTAGTTTTCAGCTGCGTAGAAACTTTCTGCAGCACATCAAACCATCTGTCATACAAAACAAAAAACCATACACAGTAAAAAAATGGAGAGACAAAAATACTCTCCTTAGATGCATAGTGTTTTACTAATACCAACTGTTGTGTTTTTTTTAATCTACTGGACTGCTGCAATAATCTTTGTACAAAAAGAGCAAAAGAGAAAACCTATAGTACACTTTGATCAGATAACAGATTTCTAGACAAACATCTAGCATAAAACATCTCTGGTCTTTGATTAGTCATCTGCCTTTCCTTTAAGTCTGACTATAACTAGCAAGTTAATGAAATGGTTTTGAATACAAACATTTAGAACTATTATGCTTTAAAAAAACCTTAAGTCGTATCCATTTTAATGATTTAGCTTTGATTTGAAAAACACACTAGTGATAAACCAATACAGTGTTGCATTCAGGATCTCACTACCAAGATAAATTAGTTTGCTTAAATCTACAAAAAACCTGTAATTTCAAGTTACTGAGCTCCCTGATTATACCTGCATTTATGACAAACAAGAAAAGAGATTCTACTTCAAGTTAACATTATATCATAAGGGAAGAAAGTTACCCTGAAGCATCGTGTTCCTGCTCAGCTTGAACCATGTTCCTTAGACTAGCATCAGCAAGGGCCTGTGTGAAATGTGTGTATGGTGCCATGAAGCAGTAATGATAGAGACCAGGTCTCAGATTGGAAGAACCCAAGCGCTGAGCTTTGCCTTGAGCTTTGTTGGGGTTTGAAGACAAGCCATCGTACTGAGAAGCCAGATTTGTCCCAAACAATGTCTTCAATAACTAGGGAAGAAAATCAGAAGGAAAAAAACAGTTAACATTTCAGGAAGAGAAAAGTTGACTCCTCATCCTCACAAAGGACTTAAGAGGAAAGGTCAAACTGTGGATCATATACTTAAATACAAGAACACAGAAAAAAGCTGGAAAAAAAGACCTTACACAAAAATATATTAGTTTGGTAACTGAAGCGATTTCCATGTGACAACTCAAAACAGTCTACTAAAACTTCCCTCTCACCAAAATTAACCTTTGGTGACTTGAACCCAAAGATTTTACTAGAAGCCTGCAAGAAATCAACCAGCAAGGCAGTTCTTTGCTTTCCAGGTTTTTCATGTAGTTAACCTACATTACAGACCACGTTGGGGAAGGTAGGAAACAAATTTCCTTTTTTAGCTGAAATAGCTCTTTGGAATTGGTAACACTTCAAGAAGAAACTGCATTATTCAGATGATAAGAAGTTTCCTAAGAAGTCATGAAAATTAAACAAAGCATGCTCTGTTTGCTCCACCTGAACTACAGTTTCATCACACAGCTTCGCTTAAGATTGGCCAGTCTTAATATCCAGTTGATGACCACAGAACATCAGGATTAGCCACCCAGTAACACATCAAAAAATTACCTCCTTACCTGCTGTACACAAACTGTTGCCATTGTTGGTTCTCTGTTGAAACACGATTTTAGGTAACCCAAAATTTCTTCTACGCACTAGAAAAGAAGAAAAAAAAGTGCACCTAATTGCATTTTGATTCATTATTCAAAGCATTAAGATGAAAACTGGACAACAGCACAGGTTTTTTTACCAAGCAAAAATACACTAATAGAAGGGAAATAATGGAAGTATGTAAACAAATAAAAATGCAAGCTCTGCCTCCTCATCTTAAAATACCACAAGGCCTAACACTACAGTCAAGGATCAAGGAAATTGAGAAAGGAGAGCAGAATGCCTTTTGACACTTTGTACATTTGACATAAGAATATCTAAATATATTAATATAGTAAGAATGAGTGAAGGTAAACCATGTTTCTGGAAAGATAAACACCCACATGAAATTTAACCAGTAAAAAAATTACTCCAGCTTTCAACAGCAGCCTAAATCACAAAAAATCTCCTTTAGCACTTCATCCAACCTTGTGGCAGCACAATGCTTCCAGGACTACTGTCTCTCTCAACAGTGCCAACTTTTTTAATTACTGGTATGTGCTTTTTCCCAGTAAGGATCACAGACACTGGGCAGATTAGCTACAAAAGAAAAAAAAAAACCCACATCTTATACCTTTCCAATATCTTGAAGAGTAGCGAGTTCCAAAATTTGAGACAGAACATCTAAGGCAGACCGTAAGAAACATCCAAACTTTTCATTACTGTTCTGGAGATCCAAAGTAACCTGTCCCAAAAGTAAAAAAACCCCACCATCATAACAATTACTTGACAAGGAAATAAAAATTAGAGAAAAAAAAGTGGGAATTGACATAAAATGATCTTTTGCCTTAAAATTTCAGCATAGTTCAATCAATGCCACTGACAGCCTAGACTACCTTATGAATCACTAGAAAGGTAGGATTTCATTTTGACTAAGAAAGGGATCTTCTAGCTTGAGGAAGACAGCATCTGGGAAGGCCTAGGATGTTGACAAGTAATGGGGAAGGGATAATGTATTTCTCAGAAACACAGTAGGTATAATAAGAATACACCATCTGAAGTGTACGAATGAGCTAACCAAGTTCCTAGGGAGTGCATCTTCTATTATCTGAACTAATGAGGTAAAAGCTTACCCATCTTGGAATAAACTGTGGAGAGAACAGACACTGGGATACAATCAGCATGGCCAAGCCAGCAAAGGGTCATTTGGTACCAGCATTAGTGAGCAGAAAAACAAGAAATAGGGTGACAATGCCTATTGAGTCTTTGGTTGGTTCTTGTTTATTTTGATTGGTAATGGCTGTGATTGGTTTTAATTGATTTTTTTTATGGATAAACTGTTTACACAGGTAAACCAGTGAGTCTTGATACAAGCAGAGTCATATTTAAAAGAAACAATATGATTGTCCATATTTAAGCTAGAATGTTTAAATATTTGCAATACCTTATAATTAGCATGGGTTGCTTTCAAGACATCGTACAACTTCAGATACGATGTAAGATGATAAAAGCTTCCTACTGAAGATGATTTACTTGTTGGAACAGGCCCAGTAGCATCAGTTTGCCTAGTGGCTTAAAAACATACTGTAGATTAGAACAACCTAATTCTTCTAGGGTGCTCATAACAAGTATACTCAACATAATTTACCATATCTGAATTATCAGACAGCAGGATTTTTTTTTTATGTGCACACACTTTAAACCAGAAAAACATATGCTGTATGACTAGAAAATGAACCAGCATTCCAAGAAGCTAGCTCTGAGTTAAGACTGCAAGTGCAAAATGGAATTAGCAACCTACTTCACTCATTACTAAGAAAAAACAGTTTTAAAGATTCAGTATCTTGTTTCCAAGAGTAATGTGAGCTGCTCCCGCCAAAAGCCACAAAAGCAACTTTCAAATGTTTTTTTAAGAAAAATACATGCAAAAATTCTTTCTTAATTTTAGTCAATAGCTGAGTAGATTCAGAAAACCAGTGTTCAGAAAAACAGTAAAGAAGTTCCCACCCACAGCTGCCTTTCCTGCAATGCAGCACTGAACAGCACAGAACTTCTGACAGTAGGTCAGGCCTTTTGAACTAAAACTTCAGAAAACAAGTTACTCCGTTTTATTTCTTCTCTCTAAGCCATGAGCACTTAAGTGGGGGCAGTAGGTGGGGGGTTAATAGGAGTAAGTGTGCCTACCTGGACTTGCTTCACCACCCTTTTTAGGGCTCATTGGCACAGATGACTGCTCAACAGACTCTCTCTCTTTCCCCTTTCTCCGAATTGGACTAAGAGAAGGTGGGTTTGTGAGAGAAGGCAACGCTGCCTAGAATTAAAAGAAGCTTTATTCATTTTGTGGGCAAAGGTACCTTTTCTTCTACACAAATACAAACAAATTCATCTTTTGTTTAAACTTCCCGTTATTAAACTCCTCTTTATTTGACTATCAATTAAATTAAGATACCTCAACTCTCAGGTTCAGGACATGAATTTCCAGAGTGAAAATGAAGACGTTTAATATACTCCCTACTTCCCTTCTCAACTTCAGAATAAGCCAATGAGATGGAACAAGAACTCAATGACACGAGTTCCTTTTGATTCCACACACATTGTCAAAAAATAACCACATTTCTGAAAAATGAAGAAATCACTAATCCTAGCACCATTGCCTTACAGTCACTAAATCAGTCTCAAAACGTAAATACCTCAAAACAAAACCTCAAACTCAAAAGTACCTTATATCAGCTGTTTGAGAAGTCAAAATATTTTTCAGGTTATTCAAAAGATAGAAGAGTTATTTTAAGATCAGAAAGGAGCTCAGTGCAATATGGTCAGCCAACCAACCCAAAAGTCAACAGATGTTTGCCAGAGTATGCAATCCAGTACCACATTTACTATATACACTCCTCACTGAATTAACGTTTCCAGTGAAGTGACCAGGAATGAAATGTTCAAATGTTAAGATAATATTATAAATACTGCAGAACTAAACAAAAAACTGTCACACAGAAGAAAAACGTGCAAGTTCTTTTCATGTTACTAGCTTTCCTGCATATAATGGACTCCTATTAGCAAGTTATTAAATAGTTACCTGTATCAAGTCTAAAATGCAGAGCCTTGAAGAGGTCTGTAACAGAACATTGTTTAAGTCCCATAATTTTATTTATTTTTAATACACACCTTTACTGATGGGCCAGGAGCAACATCATCCATTACATGGGCACAAATATTAATGACCTTGAGCAGATGAGAAAAAAGTTGTTCTACTAAAGAAATCAGAGCTCGATCTGCCAGAGCTGGCCAGGGTTCCTCCTGCTTTGCAGCACCTTGGTTTGAATCTTCTTCAGCACTCCAGGGATTCTTTAAGCACCTAGGAGCACATGCTGCAACAGGAATCAGATTATTTAAAGAACAAGAAGGTAGAAACTTGGAATTAAACATCAGAAAATTCTAGACGTACACCATCTCTACATGAACACAAATTCAAATAGGAAAAAGTGAGCCTATATTTTCAAAGCCAGCAGTAGGTGCATAGTTATCAACAGCAACAACAAAAAATGTTAACTCTTTGTACCCAGCCTGTATTAAGCATACTGCACATTCTTTTTGGTGACTAAAGGCAAGTTGCAACCTGGAGACAGTATCTTCGTAAACCTCTGCAGTGCATGAAACTCCTTTCTTCTGCTCAATCTTGCAGGTATTTTGTTGTGTGCAATCAGAATAACAGTAAGATACAGGCATTATGATTCTCATGGCAAAAATAACAGTACAATCCTACTTCCTCTGCCCTACCTGCAAGCAAGTTTCCAGTCAAAATCAAAGCATCCTGATGTGCAGAGAGGTCCAGTGGGAACCATGCTGATGAAAGGAGAGACAGGACCATGCCAGCCATTCCAATGGTGCAGCCTTTCTGAGCTTCATCTGAAGGACTTGGCTGGGAAACACTGGAAGTTTAATTTTGGAATATCATTACTTTTTTCCCCCTTTTGCTAAGTTTAAAGTATTAAGAAAACTAACAGTTAAGTAGAATGCTTATCTAAAAAAAAAACCAACAGTACTACAGAAATATATTTACCACTCAAGCTTCCTTCACCTACTGTTTTACAGCATAAACATGAGATCACTGTGCAAATGTTGATGTTCTGATTTTAAAGGAATACTGGAAGAAACAATACTCTGAAAATAAACATTCTTTCAAAAGCATGGAAATTTTTCTTCTGTTATTTATTTTCATAGACACTGACCATATGTACCTTTCTACCACAGCAGCTGCAGCCAATCCCTGTGACATATGCTGTGGTTCCAGGGATGAGGAAGCAGTCACCCCTAATATCACCACAACCTAATGTTACAATCTTCTGTATCAAGTTCTTAAATAACTGCTAATGTAAGCTCAACAGCACATACAGTAACCCAGGCTCCCAATACCTAAACCAATGTATTTCCATTACATGAACATGACTTTGAGAAGCTTGAGTAGGAGATGAGGGAACATACCCACAGTGCCATCCCACACTCCAGGTGCACACTGGAAATGTTGTGGAGAGAAGACACAAAGCTTCACAGCAGCCAAACTGGAAAAGTTAACAACAAGAACTGAAATGGTTTCATCACTGGAAGAGTTAGCAACAATGAAATATCTTAAGAATGAGAATTACATATATTACTATTACCATTTTACAGTACCAAAGTACATATATTACTATTACCATTGGATAGTATCAAAGCTGCAGACACCAATATAGCCAGGAAATAATTAAAAATAAAGCAAGCAAGCAAATATAAGAAGAGAAAAAGTCAGCCACTACAGCAACTAAGAAAACTCACTGTAAGTGCTCTTGTAGTGGATATTGTCAATGCATGGGAAATTGCTGCAATAACTCTTGATAGATTATTTTCCATAGTGACATCTGTTGGACTTTGCAGCATATTGTAACCTCTGTATGTTCTGAAATAAAAATATTTGTATCATTAAAACATGTACATAAAAAGACCACACTTCATTAAAAAATTTTTGTGGCTTAAATTACTATTAAGTTTTTTTATGACTAGTCATTGCAAATTGGAGTCCATGATCCTTTTAAAGCCAGACAAGACACAACATACCTGGTGATTGTGCTCACTGCAAAGTGAGAAGGAGGCTGAGTCTCATGCATTAATAGTTTCAGGTAGACACTGCTCTGGTCCCGTACTACTGCCACAACTGGATCGGCTTGTCCTTGATCACAGTTATAAAATAGCTTTGGAACAAGCCTTAATGATAATTGTCAAAAAGGAAAAGTATTATTCAGAAAGTATTGATTATACTATTTAAAGTATATTAAAAATACATTTAATATACAATTCAGAAAGCTGCATAAAATAATTACACATAAACTTACAATTATTAAGTTGTAAATGAAAGCTGTTACTAAAACATATTGTTAAGCTGAATTCAAACTTTTTACTGCTGCTCTTTATTATATTCAAGGACCTCAAATCAGGACAAAGAAACTGCTCTAGACATATGGCAGTTTAAAACAAAAAATCTTGCATAGAGATATCAGACTATACACACTACAACAACCACTTTGCTAGAGTATTTACGCCTCAGTGTTCCCCTGTCTCCCCGTGTATTTTCCCCATGGTTATCTGTGTCAACTGAGAATGACTTTCTACCCAAAAAGGACAGTTTTTCACCATCTGGTATGTGATGATATGCAGCAAAACTGAAACACACAGTAAGATCCAGCCTTCTTGAACAACAACTTTTTCAACTTAAGACAAGAGTGAAAAACTACAGTACATACTTTTTATAAGCTCACTGACAGTACTTCCAATGAATGCCCATACTGGATGTTCCAAGGGGCTTCTGCAAGCTTGTAGCAGCTTTCTTAGTCAAGCAAGTCTTTTCCAACATAAACACATACTGTCACTAACTCAACATGAAGATGCAGGAAAACTTCAACTTTTTACCACTCAAATTAAAAAAATTCCACTTCAAAATCAAGTCCCTGAATAAAAGCAACAAGTACTAACTATGATGCAATAGTCAATGATTTCACTGCCAAGCTGTTTCCGTAATGCACATTATTTTAAGTAGTAGACTTTTTAAGGTTTCCTTGCCTTTTAGTTGTTATTAGAAATGGACAGCACTAAATTAATACTCTGAAAAAGCTAGGGAAGAGACTCCTCTGACAGCAAAATATTCCAGGAATTCAGTATTAGATGCTCACAACTCCTTTAAACATAAAACTTAAGTCCCTGAATTCTAATAAATTAGACCCTTATTGTTCCATGTGTTTCTCTGGACAGCAATTTTAACTGTAGTAGGTTACAGAAAACAACTTCTTTTTAAAGACCAGCTACTTGACTGTAATCAGTGAGCATGAAAGTTTTGAGATAGACTACTTATAAGCATCTGGAAACTATAACATTTGGGAATTAGGACAACTTGGTACAATCACAATATTTTAAGTCCATTAACTACTATCAGGATACTGAGGACATCACTTCAGCATGCAGAAACTGAAAGTGACCTCAGAATATAGTACAGTTAAATGTAATTGTAATGCTAATAAAAAGCAAAGCACAATGGCATGATGATTCAGAATTATTCACGTTCCAGTAACCAAGAAGCTGCATTTGTCACCCAGTCTTCATTTAAACAAAAATGTAAAAAGCCTCCAAAGGGATTATTGTAGTCACAGGTATGCAGTAACATGCAAATACCTTTCTAAACCAAACAAAACCCCCCCTCCCAAAATTCCCAAACCCCATATATACCTCATTAATGAAGCTGCAGCTACATGTCTCACTCTTGGATCTTCATCTCCAAGCAGACATATTACAACATCATTAAGCACTCTCTCCTGAAGTTTCAGTAGCTAGAAAATAAGTCAGCACAGTAAAGTTTATTAAACATTTTCATAATTTGACCAGATTGTTAGAAGACAGTTAACAAGTGAGATTTCACCTCAAAGAAGTCTGTAAGATAATCTTTGCCTTAACATTGCCAAATACACTATTTAAATTAACAATTTTTTGAAGTTTAACACAATAAAAACCACATACACAAGATAACACCAAGGTATTTGATTCTCAGTAGGATAGTATCCTTCCAATTGTAACAAGTCTCAGAACATGAGCCTATTTATACAGAACATGTGTACAACAAATATGAGTGCTGACAGAATTTAACCACAAAGTACTGAAATTGCACTGGTACCTTAATCCAGCACCAGAATATACTGATTGAATAGTTTACTTACACCAGTATAATGATGAACACCTCTGTGCAAGCTCTCAGTTCTTCCCTCCAAGAAGCTGACTAGCCTATGGTAAAATAGAATTTAAAGTACATTAGTTAACATTAAACATTATTTCTCCCTTAGTTGCTCTGAGGTTTCCTTTTGTTTATTAGGATTGGGCTTAGTAGTGGTAACTCAATGGTAGCTTGGCAAAAGAATTAACACATTCCTTATAGGAATGATTGGTCTCAATTAGTTTTATGAAATTTTTTAATGTTTCAGAAGAAAGTGCTCCATTATGGTTCCAGTTTCCTAAACACAGCATCTTTGTATTGCAGTTACAACACCCATGGAAAAACACAAACACTTACCGAAAATCTACCTCTGCAAGTGTTTCCAGAAGTTCAGTCCTTACTAGCCAATATGAGCTATTCTTCAGTGTAAGGAGGTCAACAATTAATTGTAAACCTAGTTCACTGTAACTGCTACTACATAAGCTCATGATGCAATGCTGTGAAGAAAAAATAACTTTCAGTTACATTGCTGAAGAGGTTCTCTGAATCAAAGTATGTAAGTTTGTTTTGTTTAGAATGCTAAAAGTTATTGCTTAAGAGCTAGGAGACAGTACCAGAGTTAGGTATGGGGAGCTGATGTCCTAGCATTGCAAACTACTAAGATCTATTGCTGAATTTAAACTCTGGAGAGGACCACAATCCTCAGAGATCAGAGGACAATCCTCCAATGAGTAGTCTAAAACTCACAGGGCTTAAACATCACAAGCATTACATTCTTCGCTATTTGAAAACTGTCTCTCCTAATTTCCACTGGGTATTTTTAAGACCCCTGCTTCTGATTCCCAAAGTTTTTCAATAAGTCTACCTCCTCATTTTAATGCCTGTTCAATTATATGCACAGTATGTGATCTCTGGAAAAAGTAAAAGAATTCTATACTTCTACATCTTATTTAACTACACAAAAATGTAGTTTCTTCTTCAGGGATTAATAAACAAAAATGCTGAAAGTTATGAAGTCAGGCTACATTATATACCAAGAGAAAGAAAATGTCAGAATTTCCCAATGTAAGCTGCCTGAACTGAACTGAATTCTATTTAAGTCCTCTAAAAAGTGCAATTGTGCATGAAACCACTATATTCAAACAGTAAGATCATGGAACAGAACGTTAAAAGACTGCATCATTACACTAACTGGATTTCCTTCCCTGAGCTGGATCACAGACCCCTCCTCTTAACACATGAAATAATACTTTCCATAGGTTAACTGCATTTTTATAAAAAACTGTGTTTTGCCTCACTGACCCATAAGTTGCAATAGTCAGCCAACCTGGGCCTCTCCCTGATGAACTGATTTCCCTTGGCCTCCAATTCGTCCTCATTGTTCTAGTTTTTTTTGCAAATTCCTGAAGGAAATGCTCACTCCTTCACCGTCTGTTTTTTCACAGCACACCCTCCAGAGATGTTATTACAGAAATAAAATTCATATGCTTTAAGTTCCACTCACAAATTCAGCTATCATCTATATTTTAACAACCGCCTGATGGACCTTTCACCCAATATGAAACCCTTACTGTCCTAAGATTTTCCTCATTTTTAAAAATCATTGTTCAGAAAACAATTACTATTTTACTTGTAATTTCTCATATTTAATTTTTGCTCTCCAAATACAGGATATGACTGTTACACGTTCACACTTCCCTGTTTAGGCTTGATAACCTTTCTATCTAATGCACTCATCATACTCTTGGTTAAGGTAACATTACAGCTCATACCAGTACATTTGTGACTAGAAATATAATTATTAGATTATGCTGCTACACGTTCTAACCAAAATAATTATTTTCCAACTTTTTGCTCCTACTTTTCTGTAACTGAATCAATGTTTTCTACAATGAAGTCACTGGGTAAAAAGTAATTTATTGCACCATGTGAGCAGAGCAGGATCCTAGTCAACTAATAACACCCCTGCACCTGGTGGTGCAGAAAAATTAGTGCTTCTGCTTACTCTCACAGCTGTACAAGCCAGTTTGCATGTAACAGAGGACTCATCCTTCAGTGTTTTCTGTAACAGAGGTATGCAGTCTACCAAGGAAAAGAGATTTCCTACAAAAAAAGAATAAATTTTAGAGCATTTAACAAAATTTTGGTTACATTAAAAAAAGACACCCTTAAAATTCATTGTTACCTGTTGAGCATCTGACATTGATGAGCCATTTTTCCACATCAAAGCGGGATTTAATTAGAATGGAGTTGACAATTGTTCCACACAGAATGGCAGTAGCTCCTCTAATCTGGGGATCTCCATGGTCAATGTAGTTCAGAATATCTGACACATACTGCTCCTCTAAGAAAATAAGTTACAACTACTTTATTTTAAAAATACTAGTCTTAGACTTAACTGATCCCTAAAAACCCTTCAGTGGAGTTACCAATTACTGTGCAGTCATTGTCAGCATCTTCACAAGAAACCTGCCCTAGTTCTACCTTTGAGAGATCCCTTGCATGTAAGCCATGGATCATTCACACCATGCAGACCAATGATCACATAAAACCACTACTGATTTACTTCAATTGTACACAAAATGCCCTGAGGAAATCTAAGTTTTGATCAACACTCCACCCTTGCTTCCATCAGTATCAAACCAGTTGATTACTCCAGGTCCCTGCTGATCACTCTGTAACATTCACAAGAATTAATCTAATGGCTTAGGAACCATCTATAAAATGGCCTGATCTAAATGAGAAGAAACCATTTCTAAGATAAAACAACCACTTCTATACAGCAATTGTACTAAAACACCTTAAATCTGTCATATTTAAGCTCCTCCACTGAAACTTAACACTTATTACAAAAAAAAAATAATTAATGTCACCCCACGTGCTATCAGTGCAGACAACATAATCTTTCCACTTGGTTTAGTATTTGTTTGCACATACTAAACTGCATTAACCAGTTTTCAGCATAGATGCTGTCTTACTTATTTCAAAACTCAAACACAACTGTTGAAATGAAGTATGTGAACTACAACATACCATACTCTTCTCCCATTGCTTCCAGGGGTGTTTTATACAGTTTGCTGAAGAAAGACTCAGGGTGAAGAGCAACAGCTGCTCCAACACAACTTACTGCCAGGGCTTTTACACTGACTCTCACATCTCTGTCAGGAACTAAAGCTGGGGGGGGAAAAAAAGGGTATTTAAAAGCTTCCCAAATAGCTTTAAGTTAATTAATAATTACATATCATATAAATAGCTTAACCTGGACAAAAAATATAAAGGCAGAGAAAGAAGTTGCATTTTAGCAGATAAAGCAGTTGCATCCATTTTGGTGTGCTTTTTTTTCAAAAAGTAAAAAAACCTAACTAATAATCTGACACACTTATAACTCCCTTCATTGCTGAGAATACAGCTACTACACTGTCCTTCTAAAAACACTACACTGGCAGAGAACATGTGTACAAATAACAGATCAGAAAAGGGAAAAAGAATAAACACCTTAAATGCTCATAAATACTGACACACAAGCACACGTGCATGACACAGACTTCCCAGTGAAAGAAAAATGGAAGCAACAGTGTCTGACAAAGGTTTTCTGGAAAATCCCTACTGAGATTTTATTGCTATGCTGAAAAGGTACATAATTCCTGTTTTGAGGCCAAATAGCCTCCCCTAGCAACCACTTACTGCCAAAAAGCACCTCTTCAACCACCACATGTGAAAAAGCATGAAAAATACATATGCCAGAGGGACAGGATGCCATCCAGAGGGACCTGGACAAGCTAGAAAAGTGGGCCCAAGTCAACCTGATGACGTTCAACAAGGCCAAGTGCAGGGTCCTGCACCTGGGCCAGGGCAACCAGATACAGACACAGGCTGAGGGAAGACATGCTGGAGATTAGCTCTGTGGTTCAAAAGCTGGACATGAGCCACCAATGTGCAGTTGCAGCCTAGAAGGCCAACTCCATCCTGGGCTGCATCAAAAGGAGTGTGGCCAGTAGATCAAGAGAGGTGATTCTGCCCCTCTACTCTGCCCTGGTGAGACCTCACCTAGCTGCATCCAGCTCTGGTGCCCCCAGCACAAGAAAGATGTAGACCTGTTGGAGCGTGTCCAGAGGAGGGCCACGAAAATTATCAGAGGACTAGAGCAGCTCTCTTACGGGGACAGGCTGAGGGAGTTGGGGTTGTTCAGCCTGAAGAAGAGAAGACTCCAGGGGGACCTCACAGTGACCTTACAACATCTGAAAGGAGCCTATAAGGTGGCTGGGAAAGACCTGTTCACTAGGGCATGTAACTAAAGGAAAGGGGGTAATGGTTTCAAGCTAGGAAAGGGTAGATTTAGGCTGGACATCAGGAAAAAGTTCTTCAATATTAGGTTGGTGGATCATTGGAACAGGTTGCCTAGAGGTGGTGGGGGCCCCATCTCTGGAGACATTCAAGTTCAGGCTTGATGGGGCTCTGAGCAATCTGTTCCAGTGCGAGATGTCCCATCCCTGCTTATTGTAGGCTGATTTGACTAGATGTCCTTTAGAGGCCCCTTCTAACCCAAGACATTCTATGAGTCTATGAAAAATGATCACAATAACTTAGGCCAAATGCTAGAAGATATTAAAAGCAGAGAAAAAAAGTTCAACTTGTGAAATAACAAAAATCAACTTGTGAAAAAGCTAAGCCTTTGAAAACATTAGGTCCATTCCCTGGTTTATTACAGCTAAATCATTTAAAATATGAAGTCACATTTCCCAGATATAAATGGGTGCAACATCACTTCCTCTACCTGAAGTACATTCAAAATAATTAACACTGAATTAAAACACAACTGAGTGATAAAGTTAAAAAATATTTTTTAATCTTGTTTTAATTAAAACAAATTATGCATTGTAAAAATATATTGAAAAACTATTAAGATGAGTATTTGAAAGAACCATATACTTCTGAACTGGTTTTCAGGAGTTTCCACAGAATGATCAGCAACTCAGTGTACTGCTTCCTTAGTGAGGTATCAACACTTTTGTAGTGAACAAACTGGGAACCCAACACTGGTAGGAAAGACAAACTGGTATTAGATTGTCTTTGCAGCTTCATACAATCTAGGAACTGTCATGAGCCCACAAAATAAGTCTCAGAAGAATGTTAAACATAATTAAGTACTTGACTTATGAGTTAAGCTACCATAACACTTCTTTAGGTGCCCAACAGTTCAAAAAAGGATTCACTGTGAAGTGACATAAATTTGCAAGTTTTTTTAGGTTTTTCTGTATTCTGATGTCGTCGTTCAAATCACTACAGCCACAGAAAAACCCCAACCCCAAAATCTCCAATACAGCAAAATTAAAAGCCAGACAGAGTAAACTGATCAAGTTTCCAACTTGGTACATTGAGAGACACAAAGAATCAACAAGTCTTGAACAGAAGCTTACCTCCTTTCTCACCCGTAAGTAGGAAAGAGGCTGACAGAAGCCTAACACAGTGCACTAAAGGAGCAGAATTTTCATCGGTATAGTGACCTATGTCTCCTTTCACTCTGGAGGGCTAATGAAGGCAAATCACAAATTTCAGATTAAAAAAAATGTGATCTCCAATTTAAGTACAATATTAAGAGCAAGATACAGAAATACCGCACATCCCTAAATATATAAATGTTGCAATACAAAATGTATTTAACAGATATTCCGAAAAGTGCCTTAAAATTTAATGGTTTCAGGAAGTTTGTATCCAGTACCACAATTGGTTTAATTTTATCACAGAAACCATACTTATTCTGTAGATTTTATGAATTTCCTTTACTTGCCCTTTGCATCTGAGGGAGTCTGATAATTACTTTTTATCACCAAACAATAATCTTTGGAAAATCTGTAGGACAAGCAATTAATTCCTAAATTGTTTCTAAAGAAGGCTGGCAACCTTCTGTAGTTCCACATTTGGAGTTCACCAGCAGCCCAAGGTGATCTACCTCTGCCTACCACAAACAAAACCCTTTTGCCTCAGCTGACAGTAAGGTCCAAAGCTAATGTTAAAAACCCGTAAGAGGAAACCAGCAACCTGTGGTTGTACTGGCATGAGCCTCTCTGCTGAAAGACAGGCTCAAAGAGGAACTTCTGAGGAGGCCATAAAGTTACCTACACAGCTAGCAACCAGCACAAAGGTATTTCAGGTAATATATTATCAGTGTAATGCTGGTGATTGCATTCAAGATGTCAACACTCAAATATTCACCTTATGTTAAACGAAATTCAGGCTGTAACTCAAATTTACTACTCAAGCTTAGTTATTTTGACCTTTAATTTAGTAAATCACATATAGAGGCAACCCAGTTACCACTAAATTACATGATCATGAAAAATGTATTTATTTTTTAAACTTAGTGGCTTTAAACTTTAAACCAGACCACTGTGACTACTTCTCACCTTATTTTCATGATCACCAGAATCTGCTGCATCTTCTTTTGATGTAAATCTATCCACACTGCTATCAGAAGGCTGCCTACTATGGCTCATGGTTTTCAACAGGTGAGGCTGCTGCAGAGCTTTAGAAAAAGGCAATTCAGAAAATACCATTTCAGATGCAAATTAAAAGTGCTTTAGTTGAACTTAATTATACAAACATGAAAAATTAATTAGCAGTGATCAAAACAAGTGATTCATTAGAAGTGCTGAAATATATTCCTTATTTTACATTTCCATCTAGTTATTTGTTTTGCATATCCATTACGTGACTCTTCAGTCCCTTGGAAGTTAGACAGCAGATGCACCTGTAACACCTGCCTTGAAGGCGTCCCCAGTTCTGTGTCCACTTCCCCCTGCCATTTATCAACATACCAATAGAAGAATTTCTGAAAGACTCAGATGAATCATCTTGGAGAATATTTGCAGCCTCATCTTCCTCATCCTGCAGTTGCCCAATCTGCATTCCTGAGTACTGTCCTTCGGCACCTTCCAAAACCTACACAGTGCAAAGACAGGACTCAAAATAACTAAGCTTAACACACAGTATTAAATCTCGAACATACAGTGTTAGTGATCTAGAAAAAATCTGAAAGCAAATATGAGCCTGATAAGCATCAGTGTACAGCTGTGTGCCAGCCCCAAAGCAGTTGCCTTCCTCCTCCAGCATTTGGGGTATTAGAGGCCAGAGTCACATCTGACAGTCTCCCAGTTGAGCCATGAACTTAACAGTGAGAAAGTCAAACGCGTAGTGCTTTGCCTCCTCTGCAGCTCTCTGCTCCCTTATGCCAAACACAACTGACCCTCTATCTCAGCAGTTACTAAAGACAACCAACACTTTTACTGTCACAAACTGAACTTGTTGTCAAACTCCCCCATATGCTCACCTGTCCTGGATGTGTAAAGTCAAACTGAGAACACACTGTGTAGGACTAAAAAGGACAAGCAAGTTTGAACGTATTTTAATTCCTTCATTCTAAATCAGAGAATACTAAAATAGACATTTTCTAAAAGAGTGGTTCTTGAATCCTTACACCTGCAGGAGTATTTGTTCACCCTTTAACACTTCCATTAGTCCTCCTGCACCAAAACAGTTGTTAATATATATATACATAAAATAAAGAATATACTACTAAAATGATACATTTATGTCAAGCCTTTGATATTGACATTCTTCCAGTGAGCGACAATCTGTTCATGCCTTCATATGACCTACCCAGTGAACATACTAATTATAGTTTTGTGTTTAATTACTGCTTAAGTGAAAGTGTTAAAAGGAGGTGAAGCTCTCCATTAGAGGTGTGAGCTGCTGACCTTTCCATTGTTACTAGCTGAGGATGGAAAAGTAGAAGACGAGTAAGTAGATGAATCCAAGTCTGGGCCCGCCATGGAAGAGCTCTGCGATATGTCGGGCCCCTCAGTAGAAGAGGATCCCCCCTCTGCCCATTGCTCACTTACAATTTCAGAACTGTCAGAAGGTGTTACAGCAGAGTCTGGACCTTCGGTAGTAGTCTGAGAGCTATCACTAATTGGTGAGGAAGCCTGTGTCCCATCATTCAAGTCCATAGTAGGATCTGACTGGACAGCACTGATCTGGCTGGAGCTTCGGCTAAGCACATCATCTTCTTCCCCTTCAGTGGTTGTACTTGTCAAATCACAGCTTGGCAGGTCTACAGAGTCTGACTGCAGCGTATGTTGGGAACGTGGCTGCTCCGTGATGATGTCATGTCCTGTAGAATCAGCAGATGAACTCCCTACTGACCCAGCTGTTGATACTCCTGATGAAGTAGCTAGTTCACTGGTTATCTCACCCTTCACAGAAGCTGCAAAACACAGACATCTCTGGGTCAATCAAGTGTTTATACTTTTATTTTACTCTTGATATGGACACCACATAATAACCAACATATTAAACTAGGCTAAGGTCAGTTAAACTAGTGGTATAAAAAATAAGCATGTTTAAGATTTCGGTCCATCAATGCCAGTAGCTCAATATGACAGCCTATCCATTAAAAAATAAAAAATAAAATCAGTCAACTTCATTAGGTAAGTGTAAGTTTTATACCAAGGACTACTTATGGTTTCAGTTTGTTAGCATGTATTTTCAGTGCCCATTCACTTCATAGTCACTATAACATATCACATTTATATTTTACTTAGAGCAATAAAACAATAGATTTCTAATATATAGTAAAGAAGGTTGATTGCCCTGCTAAAGAGAAAGTCAGCTACCTGCAAAGGATGCAGAGCTGACATCTGAGCGGGTTTCAGGATCATCCTCCAAACCTTCTTCTTCACCAAGTAGTATTTTACCTGAGAAGTGGTAAGAAGAAAAACCTTTACATCTTTCCAAAGAGACAACTTGAAATGCTGAACAGATGAAGTCAGTTAGATACGAATTTTAAAAAAAAATTTATCTAAACCATTCTTCAAAGCTACGACAGGCAACAGGTGGGAAAGAGAAAGGAACACAGCAAGTGAATATCCAGTTTCCCACTATCTGATCAGGAGAGAAACAGACAGCAGTGACAAGGAAAGAGGCAGTTAAGTAATTTTATCTCCCAGTGTAACCATTTAAGAAACTACCTATGACCGTTCTAGTTTATTTTTATGGACTATGTTTAAGATTCCACTGATTTTGTCAAGTATGTGCAATTAATAAGGACTGGATAATTGGCATCTGGATGTCTGCCCTCAATTCAGAAGGACATTAAAGGACCACAAGTAATAGAATAAACAACCTCTCCCTCCTTAAGGATCTGAAAATTATCAAAGGCTACTTGCAGTTCACGGCTTGGAACTCCAATGATAACAGAATGGAAAATGCCTAGAGGGAAGAGTAACACAGACTAGAAGCACAAGACAATGTAAGTGGGACAGAGTGATGAACCATGGACAACGGCCATTAAAATCCAGGGACTACTAAGGCAAAAACCTTCAGAGAGGCTTTTGCCACAGGAAAAATGAGAACTACTTATAACTTAAGATAATCATCACAGAGTTCTCTCACAGAGTGCTATCTATTTTAAATAGAGGCAGCAAAAAGAGAAAGGTAGCTGCAGATGCACATTGCCTGGGAGGAAACCAAGGGCATAAGTGTACTGTTAAGTCTGTAAATGGGACAGGATATAAAGCGTAGAGGGAGCTATTGAGCCCAACCTTCCGGATCTTGCAAGTCACTTGCTGAGAGAGAGGTATTCATAACTGCTTTGAGATAAGCCTGTTCTGCTATTTAGAATAAGCTTCACCATGCAAGATACCAATGTTTTGAAAATTCTAGGTGAATTCTTATACATTTCACTTAAGTTACCAAGGGTAAGAAAAGCATTAGCAGACTTTTAAAAAATTTCTGTTGGAACTGCTTTCATACATAATAGTAACACTATAGAACTGTCATGCTCCAAAAAAAGTATGTTTTATCCTATTAACCTGTGAGGCATAAAAGCAACCAGGACATTTTCATGTACGTTTTATGAACAGTGACACTATTTGAGAACTACACACTCATATAGAAGAGTGAGTAAAATCCTGCTAAGAGTTTCCAACAAAAAGCATGAAAGATAGTATATTCTTCTCTATTCTTTCTCACATTTACATCCATTTCATTGAAACAAACCAGGATATTCTTCTGCGTTCCACAGCTGATTGCCTTTAAAAGTAAGTGAAAGAGGAAGGACACTGGAAAATACTCATTAGGCATATTAGGCTTTGTATGATTAAGTAAGTATATAAAACAAGCTGCAGGATAATTTTCCATTATTTGGGGGGGGCGGGGAGAGAAATTAAGATGAAACCATAGGCATCCATTTCAGAATGAGTCTTCAGAAGTTTTTGCAAATAATTTTCTGAAGCTGAAACACACAAACCAACATAGGCAAGTTGCTCAAAACTAAAGTTGGTCTGAAGCAGCAAGACTGAGAAGACATGGAATATCTGAGTTCTTATTTTAGGGTCACAGATTTCTGTAGATGAGCCTCACTTCACATTCCTACACAGAAAAGGGATATTTCAGCTAGAGGAGTTTCACCCACAGCCAAGAGCAGAAGCCTACTATTCTATACAGTAGTCGACTTCAAGTAGGAACTGGGAATAGGCTTGATTTTTCCCAACTTCCTATGATGGGAGAGCAGCAGGAAATGAACAATTCACAACTTGAAATTAAACAAATCATGCACAAAGTAATGAAGATTCCTTAAAATTCATTTATGCCATTGTTTTAGACCACAAAATCTTCATATCGTCATCTTGAAAAAGGATAAAAGCTGATGACTCACATGTATTCTCAATGAGCAAAGGAAATGTTAGTGTTTTAACATGTTACTTGAATTAAACCTACAGTACTGTTAATACTGCAAAGTTATACTGAAGGCTACTAACAAGACACATATCAAAATGATGATTTACTATTTTTCATTTAAAAATGTTATGTGTTGTCATTCTTATTTGTTGCATTCAACAAATAATGCTCATGGCAGCCTAGTGAGGTTCCCGCTGATTGGTAAAATGGGAACATGGCCCCTATTTTTAAAAAGGGGAAAAAGGAAGACCCAACGAACTACAGGCTGGTCAGTCTCACATCTGTGCCTGACAAGGTCATGGAGCAGATACTCCTGGAAAGTCTGCTAAGGCACATGGAAAATAAGGTGATTGGTGACAGTCAACATGGCTTCACTAAGGGCAAGTCATGGCTGACCAATCTGGTGACCTTCTACAACAAGGCTACAGAGATGGTGGATGGTGGCAGAGCAACTGACATCATCTACCTGGATTTGTGCAAGGCGTTTGACACTATCCCACATGACATCCTGGTCTCGAAACTGACAAGACATGGATTTGTCAGATGGACCACTTGGTGGATAAGAGACTGGCTGGATGGCTGCAACCAGAGAGTTGTGGTCAATGGCTCAATGTCCAAACGGAGTCAAGTGTCAAGTGGTGTCCCTCAGAGGTCAGTACCACTGGTCAAACCAGTGCTGTTTAACATCTTTGTTGGAGACATGGACAGTGGGATTTGAGTGTATCCTCAGCAAATTTGCTGACAATATCAAGCTGTGTGGTGTGGTTGACACCCAAGAGGGAAGGGACGCCATCCAGAGGGACCTTGACAGGCCGGAGAGATGGGCCAGTGCCAATCTCTTGAAGTTCAACGAGGCCCAGTGCGGGGTCCTGCACCAGGGTTGGTGCAACCCCCAGGGACATCCCCCCAGGCTGGGGGCGGGGGCGAATGGCTAGAGAGCAGTCCTGAGGAAAAGGACTTGGGAGTGATAGTTGATGAGGAGCTCTACATGAGCTGCCAGTGTGTGCTGGAGCCCAGAGAACCAATTGTGTCCTAGGCTGCATCAAAAGAAGTGCGACCAGTAGGACCAGGGAGGGGATTCTGCCCCCCTACTCTGCTCTGGTCAGACCCCACCTGGAACATTGTGTACAGTTCTGGAACCCTCAGCACAAGAAAGATATGGGCCTGCTGGAGAGGGTCCAGAGAAGGGACACCAAGATGATAAAAGGCCTTGGAGCACCTCTGCTGTGAAGACAAGCTAAGAAAATAGGGGCTGTTCAGCCTGGAGAAGAGAAGACTGCAGGGAGACTTTAGAGCACCTTCCAGTACTTGAAAGGGGCCTACAGGAAAGCTTGGGAGGGCCTTTTCATCAGAGAAGATAGTGACAGGACAAGGGGTAATGGTTTTAAACTGAGAGAGGGGACATTTAGGTTAGATATTAGGAAGAAATTCTTCACTATAAGGGTGGTAAGGAACTAGAATGGGTTGCTCAGGGAGGTTGTTGATGTCCCATCCCTGGGTCTTTAAGGACAGGTTGGGCGAGGTTTTGTGGTGGTAGGGTTCTCTGCTCATGGCAGGGGGATTGGAACTTTATGATCTTTGAGGTCCCTTCCAACTTTAATGATTCTATGATTCTATCTCACCTTCAAATGCTGCAGCATTATCTACTTTTGGAACACTCCCTCTACTGTTTCTAACCTACAAATTACCTCTGCATCCATAAAGCACTATTTTGTTCAGCTCTAACCATTATTTTACAGTTATGTGTATTCTTAAAGCATACAGGCATAATTTTAAGCATTATGAGATACCATGTAAACAAAAATAGAAGGACATACTTGGATAAATTGCAAGCTAGTTGCTATAATGATCCTTAAAAGTTTGTATCATCTTATTTAGTCTTTGACAACTTTTCCTTAAAGTTTTTCTTTACAGTATTACACATCTCTCTGCTAACTGTGCTTGCATGATTGCACTACACTCATGCATAGTTCCACTGCAATAATAACATTTTCTTCACCTAAAAAATTATGAAACTGTTACAAAGCTGTATATACAGTGATTCCACTACTGATATGACTGGCTTTAAGCAAAGTGTAAACATGTAACTAGATAGGAAGTGCTTTCATGGGAAAATAATACTTCAGAGCAATTGTATTATTTAAAATCCTGCTAAATGAATTACCTACTGAAGGAAGAAATGAAAACATTCACAGTAAGACACAGTATGAATAGAATTAACCATCTTTAACATAAAAATTAAAAAGCATCATATCAAAGCATGCAAACAAACATACACATGCATTAATGAAAGAAGAAATAAACCAGGCCTAACAAAACCAAGAAGGTTAAATATTTTGTAAGTTACATTAAAGGTTAAATATTACCATCAAATGGAAGAATGCCCTGTTCAGAGAGATTATTTTTAGCTGTGCTTTCAGAGTGAAAATCGCACCGATATTCACCACCATAATTTTGTCAGTGAACTACAGCAAAAATAAGACTGATACTGCTTTTAATAATTTTAGAGTATCTTGATTGCCATTTCAGAAATCACATCAGAATTCTTAAGATCTACAGTGATTAAGATCAGCTGATAACACAAAGGCATTTGTGAATGAAGACCAAAGTTCAGCAAGACAATGAAGTGGGAAGCGGGGGGAAAAAAAAGCCAAAAAAATCAGAAAGTAATGCAATTAAAGATTTGTTTTTAAAAAGAATCACCTTTATGTTTTCTTGCAAGAACAGGGCTGCATGAAGACCCCCCTCCAGCTGCAAATCACAGAAAGTAACACATCAGGGCAAAGACAGAGCTGCTGGAATCATGAAGGAATTCTAATAGCCACAAATGGGAAGGGCAAAATTAAAAAAACCAAAGCCAGGAAGAAACAGCAAGCTTGTTGTATTGAAGTCCAAAGTTTCGTATCATTTGCCATCAAGTGACCTTTTGTTTTTCCATGCCACTTGTGCAAAGTTTGCTTTTACAAAAATATGCTCCAAATTTCACTTCTATGATTGCTTCTGGCTAATGAATTGCCTTCTAATAGCAACAATATTAGAATGATCCATTAGTTCAATACAGAAGTCCTTAGAGAAATCCAGAGACTAATTATTTTGAAACAGATAAGCAGCAGTTAAGAGGCACTTTTAAGAACATGCACTTCACAGACAAGAACACTGATAGCTAATTTTAACAGTTACAGATAAATTTAAGTCATGCTTTCATTTCATGCTGGTTTTGGCATTCAGCAAGGAGCTCTCAGTTAATATAAATTCTGATTAGATCAGCTTTTTATGAATCACAGTTGTCAGATGCTTGGTGAGAACATCATTAATTTTGTGAGGAAAAAAAATAATAATCTGTCACCCCAGTTAACTTGTTCTGTGTAACCAAAAAAAAAACCAGTAACACAAACTGTAGAAAAATACTCTGGAGTTTGTCGTTGTACATTCATTGAATAATGAATGGAGGAAAAAACACCTTTTACTGTACCTGGGGAAACAAAAGGTCATGCGTAACTATACATTTCATTATATACTTCATGCTGTCAGCAAACACTGAGACATAGAGCTGGTGATGTGTGTTCATCTTCCCTTCACTTGAACTACCTAAAACAGAGCTTACCAATAAGTTCCACGATGCTCCCACTGCGGCTCCTGCTGGCAGATTCATCTCTGGATACACTGACCTGTGCAATGCCCCCTGAAGCAGTCAGGGCATGGAGAAGTTCAGGTGGTGGTGTTCTAAAGAGCTGTTGTAATAACTCTAAAGCTCCAGTCACAACATTATGGTCCTGATGCTGGGTGTAATACAGAGTCAATTCATAAACCTAAAATGCAACAAAGTACTGGAGTAAGTCACTATTAAGACACAACATACTACATTTCTTCGCATATACCACACTAAATTTCAGCGATGCATTAAAAATTACTGACATTTACTGTATCTAATCTTCACCATACTCTCAAAAGGTTAAATGTCAATAAATTGTTGCCATTGAACTGCAGTTTTGTAGAAGTCTGTTGCTTCTCTTTACTGTTACAGAAGGAAGAATCACAACAAAGAACATATAGGAAACACCTAACAAATGCTGCTGATTAATTTTCCTGGGTTTTCTGGTCATTATTTATCAATAATTCCAGTCACTGGACCAAGCATCATTTACCAAGATTAGCAGGAATTTGAGAAAAGAACTCAGAATGTTCAACATCAAACTCAAGCTGTATCATACTATATGCAAGATTTATTTCTTTTCCTTCCAATTAGCAATTTTGAGGCTAGTTTTGTTATTCATATTTTACCTGTATAAGTTGTTCTGGGGAAGGCGAAATCTCTGTTTCTTTTCTTGTTACTCCAAAACTGCCTTTCAGGCTGGTATCCTTTACTTGTTGTTGCAATAAAGGTATGAGATATCTTAGTGTAAGTAAAACACCCAGAATTAGAAGAGTAGGATGATCATCTTCTACAGGAACCAACAAGCCTGGGGAGTAGAAAAGAAGCAGTCAAATAACTTATTGACAGTGGTTAGTTTCAACCCAAATGTTATTTTATGTAGTTCATATACAGCTTTTTAAAATAAAACCAAAACCTAGTAGAAACTTAGGAACACCTTCTAAAGCTAGAAACATTTGAAAATGTATAGTACTCCTGACAATGATTTATGCAATGTGCAGAATGGTCAGAGGACTCTGTCTCATCTCCTCTGTTCCCTACCTCTTTTTGCTCAAAAGACAAAAATTTTCTTTTCCTTAATACTGGATGCTTTCACCAAGTGATCTAGACTCTCTTGCTCCCCTCACCTGCATCCTCTCTCCATTTGGCAGTTTAATTAAGGCCAAACATAATTCCCTCACACATACATGTGCCACTGTTCTAATAAATAACATTTACATTTTTGCCTCCTCCCTCAAGTATTGGAAACCTTGTTCTACATACCTACCTACTAATCACAGAATCGAACCCAAAACAAAGAACAAATACAAGTTATGTAAGAAAATACAATGTTCTATGCAGGGGAAAAGAAAACAAAAACAAATCAGAATCAATTAATGGAGTTCCTATTAGTGCTCCTGTCTCAATTCCTTAATATTGCCAGGATGCTATAAAACACACTACTGAGGCAGAAAAGAACAATGCGTGCACAAAAGTACATAATTTCCAAGTCACATAGACTGAGGAAAGTCACTCCATGGTATTTGAACTTTTCACCCATTCTTAAAAGTAGCAAGGCTGACAGGATAATGCTTTATGTAGCTGTTGGTCTTCCTTATCTCTCTGCCCTTTTGCAATATAATCTAGATAGTAAACAAGCCCTTGTTAGTAACAAAACTGAGGCAAAATTTTTCACTACAATCCAGACAAGTGTCTCATCACGAGTTCCAACAAACCCCAAAGACCGAATGAACTTCCCAGCTAAATAAATGCAGAAGTAAGGTTGCCACAAGGTTCTGTGTTTTTAAGTAATAAAAAATAAATAAATTTCTGGTCTGAGTTAGATTTTAAACAAAGAATCAACATTGTAGTACTTCTAAAAAAAGGTTACAGGGTTGTGTTCATGACCCAGAAATATCAGTCATATCCTCCATTCAGATCTGCTGCACTAAAAACCAAGCTGGTGAGCAACATAAGTCTCCTGAGCAAGTTCTTCCAGGATCCCTAAGTCCTCTTGTTTTCCAACAGACTATTTGTTTCCCTAGCTTTTTTTCAACATTACTGAACTAGCACTACAGCACACACAGAGATACAAACTGCTTTAGTCATATCTTCACCTAACAACACAACATACAGAAAGCATTATTGGGGTAACTGGTAATCTACATATTCTTGCTTTCCCTGAAAACTTCCTGCATCTGAAAAGTGTCTTACATGGAAAAAAAACATGTTACTTATACCTGAAGCAAATCCATTATTTTTTAATCTTACCTAAAAGTACATTCAATAACCAGGCATAGAAATACTGTGTTCTTCGTGAATGTTGACAGATGCTCACTGCTGATCCTGCTGCTGTTCGACGGATAGTAGGGGAGCTCGATTTCAGATTAGCTATGAAAGCCTTCAATAAAGCCTAAAAATAAAGATATCTTACTTAAGTTCAGGAGAAAGAAAAGGAGATAGAAGTGAATTAAGTAATCAGCAAATGCATTTTTCATCCACTCAAAGCATTACTTAACGTGTATCTAGCAAGGGCACTTTTTGCTTTAATTCAGAAATGCAGCTGTGATGCTGCTTTCTGTAACATCTAATTGATAATGCTGATAGCTTACTGTGCTTTGAGATATAACAGGGAGCACTAAGAGGTTCAAGAGAGATACCTTAATCTCATTGTCGTTTGCAAAATTGCCAAAGGCCGCCATGATTTTTGGTATTGCTGCAGCTAGTGTCTCCTGTACCGACTCTTCGGGTCTCTTACTTATCCGTGTTAGACAGGGCAAAAGGTTCACTAAGTATGGCCTAAGTGTGGCAAAGGAGAAAAACTCACTTCAGATCAGAACAACTACACCCACCTAAACATTTTTAATTCACATTTAAATTCTGTGGTATTACTAAATCATAAAAAATGCACCTGTTAGCTATATAGAATGTAATGAGACACCAGACTTTTGAATACAATTTGCCAACATTAAGATAGAACTCAAGAGTAGAATGCACTTAAAAAATTGCAAGTCATAGTCTCCAGAAGTTTCCCTCCACTTCCCCCAGAGTCATGTACAGGACAAAACTAAAAATTCTGCTGAAAGAAAACCAGATAATAAATAAAGTTACTTTAAAGAGAATAATGTGACAGGAACTCTTCCAACCTCCAGCTATACATTTTAAATTAAGGACTGTACCTTTTTGTTAACACCTATAGTTTGTTAAGTGTTTTTCGGAAAGTTCACTACCAGGATTTTCTTACCTGCACTTTTGAGGCCGAACTAGATGGGCAAGCTCAGCAAATCTCCAGAGTGCAGCACGCAGACTTCTGGAAGCACCATTCTAGGCAAAGTACATTGTTATATTTCGGCAAAACCATTTCCTAAATAATATCTATAATACAGAACAGTATATGGTTTTATACAATTTGACTTCAACAGATTTAGATTTAACCACTTCCCTTAGTTGGAAGTCATATATTTCCTTTAGTCCAAAGGAAGTTAAGTCAACCTCATGACTGTTTCATTTTTCTACATGCTTTTAGGAATTTTCCAAGTGACCCAAAATGAATACAGTAAGGAACTATAAGAAAGAAGGCAATGTCTGAGATCTCCAGTCTGCTGAAATCAGCTTAAAATACCGCAGAGAACAGCATCAGCCAACAAAGAAACACTGATGATATCAGAGTCTAAAAAAATAACTGGAACACTTGCAGAGATATAAGTGCAGCATAAAATTGACAGAAGTGGAGATATGCAAATAAGTAATGTTCAGCTCCTGAGTGCAACAAAGAAAAAATCCACATATTGATCTGTATCACTTCATGATGGCTTGCATCCAGAAAATTAGTGTCTTGAGCTGGAATGGCTTTAGACCCAGTGTTTAAGGATACAGTAAAGTTCCTTAGTATTGCTGGAAAAACAGAAAACCATGCAAATCAATAGAAGTCTAGGAGAAATTGTGTACCTCATGTAGTTTGAACCTAAACAAAATGCTTCTTAAAGCAAGTCCCTTTGAAGACAGAGCTGAGATGTTTAGAAACTCATTTCTTTCATACTTTCTTTAGCTAGTATAACAAAAGCTCATGGCCTTGTTAACATGACAAGTAAAAAAACTTGCACCTGAATTACAAAATGAGCACTTTTGAGCTTCAGAGCCAAACAGATCTTAAAGTGATCCAACCGATGCACAAACAAAATTCAGTCTGCTGGGTGCTCCTGTTATGCCTGCTACTTCTCTCTTGTCTGTGCCATGAATCTGAAAGCAACTATTCAAGAAGCACATGGCACCTGAACAACAAAATACTTCCTCCTGCATCTGGTCATAACATGCAGAAACTTGAATGTGATTTTTGTCCATGTTGGCTGTTTTGTTAATGTCTAGCTAACATTTATTTCTATACCCTCAAAAATTTTGCAGGACATTAAGGGTACGATACAGTAAGATATTTGCGCAAGGCCTACAAATAGTCCACATCTAACAGATTAAATGCTATCCACATTGCTTTTGTTATTTACTTTATTTTCTAGAGTCCTGTCATTCCCAATAAAATGTAACAAAAAACTGTAGCATTACTGTATGACAAATAACATCTATACTTTCTCTCTATACAAGCCTTGCTTTTTATATAGCCTTGCTATATGCTTCTAGATGCAAGAAACACGATTTCAGTGACACTGACCAGCATAGAGCATTTTCCTTTTGTAGTCATATACTTTAAAAAGTATATTACTAAAATTCTTCCCGTGGACACAATTAAAATGACTTCTGCTATGAAGAGAGATGATTCAGTATTTTTACCTATACTTCTTACAAAAGCTGTAAGTACATATCACACATTCAGAAAACATAGTTAAAACTTGTGTCAGGTCACTTCAGGTCCTTATGAGTCCTCCAAAACTTTATTTCAAATTATGAATGTCACTGTCCTCCACCCACTTTTCAGCAACCTTTTGCTTGAAGATACTCTTTCCAGATTGGTCAGTGGAGCAAACATGAATATGCCTTATTCATTGGGTGCAGTCACTAAGGTTAACTCAGACTGCTGTTCACACCAAATGCTCACATATTTTCTGCCAGATAAGGTTTCAAGAGTGGTTAAATCTAAACAATGGGGCCAATAGTGAGGAACTGGGTAGAATAATATATTAAACTGTCACACATCCTTCCAAAGTGAAGCTTTGATCTTGATCTTATAAGACATACGCTATTTATTTACATAAATGCCACATTCGAATACACAAAAACACATACTAGGTACCATATTTCAAAAGGATATGAAAGTTAGAAACTCACCTTTTTAATCTCTTTATACAGTTCTAATTGTAACCTAGGAAGATTGGAATCCATCAAAGCCTGCAAGAAAATGCATTGAGAATGCATTGTGTCAGAGGAGAGGCACTTCACAGGAAGAGTTACACTTGCAATCAAACAGCTTCAAAAAAGGCACAGAACAATCAAATTGCCTCTGCATTTGATGTGTAACCAGGAATGTGCTAAATACTAAAGAAAGATACCTTTACCTTTCACACAAACATAAAACAGAAATGCAGACAAATTCCTAAACAGTTATTAACAGTTATTTGCGGTTAATATGACTGCTTTACCCATTCTACCTAAAAAAGGCCATATGGAATGAGACAACAAGCAGAGCCAACCTAACATGCCAACTGGCAATTGCCAGGAGTAAATATTCATGAACAGAGTATTAAAGCAAAAAAAACAGTATTCCCAAGCAGTAAAGGTATTCTCTGATATTCATCCCCACCGTCAAGTAACCTCCTGTTTCTCAAACTGAGGCTGTATTTGTACCATTGCCTTTAGCAGCCCTTGAAAAACCCTTCTTTCATGAATCTGCCTATTTTCTACATCCGTTTATTGCCACAAGGTGTTCTGGACACCAGAACTACTGCACCCCAGATTCTGATCAAACCTCCTGCAACAGAGCATATATTGTAGTTTGAATCTGCAGTCTAGCTAAGAACTGGGGTACATGAAATTAAAGTAAGTACCAAGAAGCAGTAATTTTTCTTTTCACCTCAACTCAATCATTTCCCCCTCCATTTTTAAAATAGCAGAGAAGAAAAAAAATGTATAAAAATATAGTTCCGCTATACATAATCTCTCCCTACAGGAAATTTTGTGTACATACCAGAACTCTCTTTTACTCTTCTTCTACTGCATAGTACAATATACGAACATTTTCACCACCACTTCCTCAGATGAAAATTAAACTTTAATACAATGTGCAAATTGCACATTGTAGATTAATGCATTGTAGATTTATATAGTGCTATAACATAGAGTATTTAATCCCTTATTCTATTATATTTCTATCTATATTCTATTCCTTGCCCCAAAATTTAATAATTTCTAATTTTCTATCTGCCTTCTTGACTACCACTATTAAGCTCATATCTTCACAGGATTACTCACGATGACAACAAAACCTTACATGGCACATGCTGATGTAGAGGTCACAACTGCTTAAGCATGGTCACTGAACTGCCTGTAGCTCCTCCAGAGCTTGAGTTCCCTAGTCTAAAATAGTATGCCCCAAACCCCCACTCCCCTTCAGTTACATCAATCATTACAATAAAATGGTATTACCTTTCCTAGAAAAAATTTACCGGGCTTCGATCTTTACATTGTCATAAGCACCCCAGCTACTAACTGCAGATGCCTACATGACAGTAGGTTAAGAATAAATCTCACTTTACAAAAATTAGCTTTTAAGGGAAATTCGCTGCACGTGTGTGTAAGAGTATCAAGCAACACAAACAGAAACCAGCTACTATTTGACTTCAAGGGTAAACTGTCCTTACAACACAGTCAACTGGAACAACTCTTTTTACTAGTGTTTACCTTTATTTAGCAGGCTAGAATCTAAAAAGTCTCAACTGAAAAAAAAATTCTAAGTATAGACAACTCTAATTACCACAAATAATAAAGCACAATTACTGACACCAACTGTACTGCAATCTGTGTGAACAGTCCCCTCAGTATCATTAGCATAGAGATTACTACAACACCAGACACCACCTTCAAAACCAAAACAGCTTCAGCAACACCTTACTTGCAGAAAACTGTTAACTACAAACAGGGTATTTTTTCCTTTTAAATAAAGGTAACACCAAAGCTATTTAAGCCTTGAGCCATTTCTGCAGTCTGTAAGGTTCTAATGGGTAAGTGCTGTGATACTTAAAGATGATCTACAGGGTGTTTAGATAAACTTCTTCCTTGTTCCAATTTACAGCCTTATCTATACAGAAGTGTTAGCATATTAGACTAATGAGCACAACCTCCAGACAGACACACAATTACACAGGTAATGCTCACATTGACATGCTTACATTTAAAGAGAAAAATATAATGCATCTTTTTAGCAACACAAATGGTCTCTAAAATGACTGAGGTAGTAAAAAAGCTGAATGTTGACTAATGTGCAAGCTATGGGGACTGATGTCACTGCTCCACTCTTCACAAGCACCACTGCTACTTGCACAACCAAAAATAAAACTGCTCATCTTTTTGTCTCTGCATTTATACATGAGAGACCATCTGCCTAAAGACTGAATTGCCTCCACACAGCATGAAAGATAGAAACTGAATAAAATCTATGACGAGCTTCGACAACAGTCTGATACATCCCCGTGGCTGGAATATTACAACCACCATTTCATAGCTGTGACCAATGGGCAAGCTTACTGGCTGATAGAAGACTCTGTCATTTAAAATGACTTTGATCTTTAAAACAAAACAAACTACCATACAAAAAGTTGAGAAAATCCAAAGTTTTTCAAGTTACCTTGAAACATGCCAAAACCCAACAATACTAAATATATCAATGAATTAAAAAGGTCGATTTTATACCAAGCCTACAGAAGAGTTTGGTGGAAAGAAGAAAGTAAGTTTGCATTCTCTAGAACTGTTTCAGAGAAGCTTTTAAAGTAAATTAAGTTACATAATGGTGTATGCATTTCAAAGAGTGCTGAAGTCCTGCAAATGGAAAAAACATTCAAATCAGAATGAACAGAGCAAAGAGCAATAAGGCAAAACAAAAAAGCAAGAGTCATTTGCATTTCCTCATTCCCCCTATTTATGGAATACACTACATAATCAATCAGCTTTCTCCATATAACTTTCAACCACAAGCTCAACCCCCAAACTTCATTAATTCATATATATCAAACAAATTGAACTCTCTAGAGTTTGTAGAGAAACCTCTACAGAAATAGGGATGTTTTATTTGCTTTCTTCTACATACCCCTTCATGCTAAAGAAAATTACCTGCATATTTCTAAAGCACTTGAACTTTGCATCAACTAGATTTATCATGCTGATATATTACATTGACTCAAAGGTAAAAGTATTTCAGTAAACAGGAAAGAAAAAAAAAAGGGCAGGTGAAGGTAAACCTGTCCTAGAAGCAGCAGCTCACAGCAACTACTAACAAGGTTTTAAGATACTTTGAAACAAGATTTAGACCTTGCCTAACCTCCTATGAATGCCCGACTGCTGTTCTCCCAACAAACCCTTCATTCTGGATCAGAATAGGGTAATAATCACCGAAACACCATATTCATCCTACTTATTGTCTAAAAGCCTCTCCTCCAAGTCTCAGCAAATCACACTACCAGATATACAGCATCCTACTAGGTTGGAATAAAAAGCCACTAACTATTTTGGTCAGCTTTTAAAAAATATTTTTACCTTTCTTCACCTTGAGTATCTTTTTGTTTACCAAACAATAATAGAGTATTCCTCCCATACAAGATGATTTTAGAAAAGCCCACATTCTTGTTTTCGTTAACTTGAAGAGAACAAAGTTAATGAACAACTGCAGAAAATAATTGATTACAACAATGAATTTCAGAAGTTAAATATCTTGATCTGAACACAAAAAGCACATAGAGAATTTAGTAAAGACTCTTACTTAACCTAAGATACTATCAACAATAAGAAAAGCAACCAGAAGAACATCAGTGTGAATTCATACCAGAAACAGCATCAAGAAAAGGTAAAATCTGCTAGTACAGCATATTAAAGTTCTTACTTTAATAACTTTATTAAGGCATTCATCAGCAACCATCCGGACATCAGATTCTGTATCCTCACTGCAGAGGAGAAAGAGTTCCATAGCAATCCCCAGCAGTTTCTGGAATTCTGGAGAATTTCTAAATAAACAAACATCAGAAAATTACAATGCATACTAAGAAAAGCAAACACCAGTGCTCATTTTTAGGGGTTTCATAATCCAACTACACATATATTATATACAGTTATACAAGAGAAGACATTTGGTGGATTTAAGCAGCTCATAAGGAGTTAGGAGATCATTTTCCTTCTCTTTCCTACCTAATCTGTCAAGGTGTTTAATATCTATGCCTCAGTTTCTCTGTCTGAAGTAGAAGGATAATGACTACTCTACCAATGCATAAACAAAATTACTTCTTAGCTTTTGAGTTGGTAAAACAAAAAGCGACATTTCAGTTTCAAACAGAAGTTGAGCATTTAAAATCAGCAATTCTCAGAAAGCCCCCAAATAACTAACACTCTAAAGCAGCTATTCAAATTAACACTGTAAGTTAAAGACATTGTATTACCTTAAAGACTGAGCAACTATGTTTTCACATATTGTTAGGCAATGATTCACTCGATCTTTCTTGGTAGTTGAAAGTTCTTTCTTTCTAGAAGAGAAACACAGTAATAGTACGTCTGAGATAATACTTCAAAATTGACAAAAGACCACTTAAACACTCTTGCTAGAGTAGCATCGAATGATTAGACAAGAAAAAGCTGCTACTACCTGTAGTCCCAGCACTTGATCTACTAACCCTTGCTAGAGCATGGAGGCACACAAGCAACAGAAAGGACACAAACTTAGAAAAAGAATTAACCATTGAACAGGGAGTATCATTAATTCTCTAACTTTCACTGAGAAAATATTCAGGGGAAAAAAACACTGAATGAAGAGAAGGGAAAGGAAGGAAAGTAGAGGAAACAGCAAACAAGGATGAATTAAAGAAACTGATAGAAAGAAAATGGAATACTAGCCATGAGAACAAGTCTTGCAAGACCTAAAAATATCAGTTTTTAAAACAACTTCCCACACGTGGTATCACCTTAGACTTTTATTGTTTGGCAAGTTCTTGAAATTTAGAGGTCTATCAACCACTTTGTATCTGAACTGAAAAGGATGCAGAGGCAATATTATCAGACTCCACACTCCTCCAAACAATTTTGTATTATAAAAATAGCAAAGCTCTAGGCACATTCTATGCCCATCAAGAATACTGTCCCTCTATTAACACTTGGTATCATTCAGGAAAGGCCAAGCTCAGCCAATTTGCAGCAGACAAGTGCAAAGCAGAGAACAAAATTCACAGAAATAAAGAATGCCTATCTACAAGCAATGCAGAGCCTAATATGAAAAGCTTCTAGTTTGCAAATTTTCCTTAACATTCACTTCAACATGATATAAGCTGCTATAACTCTTTTACAGTTGACTTTAGAAAATAAGCTTCTTCCCTGCTCCACCCCAACAAAGGAACTGAAAAAAGAAAGTAAAAGAGGTTCGTAACTATGACTGTGAGATTTTATTTATTGTATACAGTGTCTCTTACTGCCAATGTTACGGACTCAGAATCACTTATAGAAAAGCAGATGTTACTTTTAAATAATTAGCCAATAGCAATACCAGAGCAAATCTGCACACCCAAAGGTACTTCTCCTGAGTCTGCTTCACAACAAGGAGGTACCTGAAATTCAGAGAATCCTCCCTTTTGTTTTCCAAGTGAAAATGTATCATTTGTATTTCTAGCATTTAATCTTCTGTCTTAAAAAAAACACATAACAAAACCAAATAGCAAAATAGCATTTCTGCACTAGAAACATTGGGAAACCATGGGAACAATCTTGAGCTACATCAACATCGTTAACACAACATCAAGGACCAACAGCAAGCATTCAATAAGCACACTAAAAGTAAGCTAATTCAAAATACATTTTTAGACATAAAATTTTTATTAAGCTGAAATAATTAAGAACTTTAAATTAAATAGTACAGATTTTGAAAAAAGAAAAAAAAAGTCATTCTTTGCAAGCATCTGGGTCCATCAGGTTCAAAGTAGAGGGCTGAGAAGCATTTACTCCCAAAATTTCATTTTTTTTCTCACAAGACTCCTCTCATGTCACTCTGGAAATAAATACTTTTCCTTTTTAAAAGTTTAAGGAATGGTTCTTAGCAAAAACATTTTTTCCTTTATAACTTGGCAGTGTTTTGTTTAGGTAAGCTCACAAGGTCTTGTTTGGCCTGTTTTCTTAAGCAACTGGAAAAATACAAGTAGTCAATGTGAATTTGATCATGATATCCAATGTCTTTATCTTGAAAAAGCACCGCAGTCTTCTGCCACTTGTTATTCCACCTCCAAAAAAAAAAAAAAAATCAGCCTTTGAGAAATACAAGGTATAAGAGAAACACTTAATGTCCACTGTATGCATGCACATGTTTTTTCTGCCTACATGGTGAGAAGGGTAACAGAACAGCTTCTAGAGACTGAACAAAAAAAGCAGCTCTATTCAGAAGTATTATGCTGATGAGCTGGGGGACAACACCAGCATCACACATTTCTTAGAAGAAAGCTGATGTAGCAATCCCCAAGTGTAAGGTCATTTCAGGTTGATGAATAACAGAAGGCAGGAGCTGCAAGTAGCAGTCATCTACAGGAAAGCTTCATCTCACATGCAGAGTTTAATCTGCGTGCTTCCACAGCCAATCTGCAGCCAAGAAGATTAACAACATAAGAAAACCAGCAAGCCCAGATAATTTTGGACACCGAGTCCTGATGAGCTGGCTACGAAGAGAAGCAGCTCATGTATGTTAATTTTTATTAGGCCTTGGAACTAAGGATATGTAAAAAGAGTACAGAAGGCCTAAAGCTGAACCAGCATTAAGAAAAAGGGCCAAAACTAATGGCTTGATATTAATCTTGAGAAAAGTAATGGGATAAAAGATTCTATTCAGAACAACAGAATTATGAGTGGATCAAGAAATAACCTAAGCCCAAATATGGAGGGCACTTCAAACAATAATGGACAGTCAACTAGAACATGTCTACAACACATCCTGAGAATGGTAACTCCAAAAAACATTTAGGAATCACCACTGACAAGCAGAGCCATGGGATCTTCAGTTAGGCAAAAATACATGAAATCTATGACCACAGCTCCAGTCAAAGAAAAAAAAAAAGAAATATAAGAATTCATTAGTATAGAAAAATGCATATTGCAGGAGAGCACTTCAGCTCTTGCAGCACCTTTTGCTGTAAAGGTATCTGTTAGAATCAAATGTAAGGAAAAAAAATTTAAAAAGAGAAAAAATTCATACCACTGACAATAATTAACTATTAGAACAAGTTGACAAGAGAAAAATAATCCTCATTTGGATTAATGAAATCAAAGCTACTTTTACAGAAGAAACATCAGCAAGTAATTCTCTCAGTTCACTGTAAGAGGTAAGAAGAAATAAAATGTAAAATATAGGATGTTGTGTGACAGCCCATCTGCTTTTTAGTTTTACTGAGTAAACTCTGAATTTCTGCATCATACTAATCAAATTTTAAGTCAGTGGAGCTTTGTAATCCAAAACAAAACACTCAACTCCAACCAAAATTCAAGGGTCTGAAAAAGCTAAAAATAGATGTGGAAGAAAATAAGGTGCCTCAGCAGAAGTGTAGAGAAGTAAAATGACAACAGAGAGCTCAACCAAAGTTTTCACAGAAGAATAAAAAAAAATAAAAAATCAGCAACAGGTAAGAGAGGGGGTCAGAAACCAATATCTCGTAACACACACTAAAAGTGTAACATTATTATTATTAATTCATTCTTTCATCACTGACAGGGAAGCTCATATCCTTTTACAGCAGTAAAACAAACACTGGAAGTTACCACACAGAACTACAAAATATTTGTGTTATCTATAGAGGATCACAAAGAAGATGAAAACCTCTTCCCCCAGCAAAGCAAAAACACTGAGGCAACTTTCCTTTTCAGTCCATTACAAACAAACTAACAAACAAGAACGCAGACAGCATTGGGAACTACATTCAAGGTGACAGCTGGTATTTCACTATAAATCTGTGAAACTTCAGCACAGACTGCCACAATATCCTTTCATAGGCTTTTGTGAGGCTCAGTGCTGTTACTGAATTTGTACAGCTCCTGGGGGCAGGCAATACCATCAGCTTTCTGAAATCATACAGCCTATTTTTAAACACAAAGCAAAGTCAACAAGGACAACTACAATCATTATTCTTCAATGTTTTGAGTAGAATATGCATAAATCCAGACCACCCAAACTAAGCAGTAACCCTCAGCAACCATCATAAATAATTTTCAGGACTTTCTCTTGACACACTGTGTCATTAGTAACTTTCTAGAGAGTTTTTTTTTCAACTACATACAGAAAAGATTGGAAATAAACAGCCATTTAGCCACAATATACAAAGTATGAGCACAAAAAATGGACGTAACAGAGCAATTAGTCTCTGCAGATCAGAAAGGCATCTAAACACAATCAGCTTGTGAAGATTATTTTTTTTCAGCTGTTATACCCCAAAAGGGTAAAAATGAATTGAGGTTGAGACAACACCCTCCAAGCAGTTATCAACCATGATAATTCAGTTGGCATCCATATCAGAATGTACTGAGGGAGCAGGTGGCCTAGGGCCCAGCTCCACTTTCTCAGCATCCTCTGCCAAAACACTATTGAGCTGCCAATTTACAAGCTACCTGCTCCTCAACCCTTCTGCTTCTCCTGTCTCACCAAGAACTGGAGAAAAAGCAATAATGTGACTCATTTATTTATCCCATAAAGCTCTTGTATCTTTTCACCTGCTCGATAAGAGTTATTTTTAAAGGATGCAAACATAAGGGGCAGCACCGTGGCACTGAACAGCTCCTCATCCTAATGCCTCCCGATGGGAAATCGGAGTATCTATTGCATAGCCATCATGCAGGTGCTACTAATGTTTAGGAAAGAAAACAGGTCTCAAGCATATTTGAACTAATTCCTCTCAGGCCTCTGCAGAGCAAGTCACAGCCCAAGACTTTAAGTGAAGTTTGTCATAAACAGACATCCACATCAGCTCCTCCCAGATGCATCAGAGCTCCAACTTTATAAGGATTAGTACTTTAAGATATGCTTAGGAATCTTCGCCGTTCTCCCAGCACTGTTTTAGCTGAAAGTAAGGTTTTCCTTCCTAGAACCAGCCTGAAAAACCCACATAGCATCTGCCATCTCCTGTTCATTACCCATACTGCTGCGTTTCCAAATGTGCTTGCCCAGAAAGTTACTCCCAGTTAAAACTTAAATAGAGAGCAGGCAGCGCTCCCAGACACAGGCACAGCCACCTGCCAAGGACACAGAAGCACCCCGGGACTGTCTGCTCC